GGAGACGGAGGTTGCAGTGAGCCGAGATTGCGCCATTGCACTCCAGCCTGGGTAACAAGAGCAAAAAAACTCCGTCTCAAAAAAAAAAAAAAAAAAAAAAAAAAAAAAAAAAAAAAAAACTTCTTTAGCATTGAACTGGCCTTGGAAGATCAGAAACTATTTGCGTTTCAATGGGAAAATCCAGAAACAGGTGTGACCACTCAGTACACCTGGACCCAGCATCCCAGGGGCTCAAGAATTCTCTCACCATCTGTGGGGAGGCACTAACCTCTGATCCGCCCCCCCCCAGAAGTTTCTTGCTAAGGACTTAGGCTGCATGTTGCTCCAATATGCTGGTGACCTTTAATGGGGACACCCCACGGCAGTCAGGTGCGCTAAAGAAACAGATGCCTTACTTCGGCACCTGGAGGACTTAGGGTATAAAGTGTTTAAAAAGAGAGCCCAGATTTGCCAACAGCAAGTGCGATATCTGGAGTTCGGCACCCGGCAGGGAGAGTACGACCTAGCAGAGAGGAAACAGGTCATTTGCAACCTACCAGAACCCGAAACCAAGAGGCAGGCGAGAGAGTGCCTGGGAGCCGTGGGTTCTTGTAAATTGTGGATTCCAAACTTCCACAGTACTGGCCAAACCCTTACACAAAGTGACAAAGAGGGGAGGAGACAAGGAACCCTTTGAATGGGGATCCCAGCAGCGGCAGGAACTGAAAGCTAAACTTTTGTCAGCCCTGGCTTTGGGGCTACCCGATTTAACAAAGCCTCTCACGCTGTATGTATCAGAGGAAAAAAGATGGCAATTGAGGTTCTAACATCAACTCTGGGGCAAAATTTAAATATCAAACGCCACACACAGTATTGACTGTAAATGAATACAAAGGGCATCACTGGTTAACAAATGCTAGGCCAACCAAATACCTGAGACTGCTGAAGGGGAAATCCCCACATCACCATTGGGATCTGTGCAACACCTTAAAACCTGCCACTTTGCCCCCGGTGCCAGAAGGCCCATGAAGTAACCCGTGTGCTGCTTCGAGATCTCATCCCTAGGTTTGGACTGCCACTGCGCAACGGATCAGACAACAGACCAGCATTTGTGGCGAATTTGGTCCGGAAAACAGCAATGACCTTGGGTATTACTTGGAAAGCACACTGCCTACCGACCTCAGAGTTCCGGAAAGGTGGAGAGAATGAACCAGACCATCAAAAATAGCTTAGGGAAAATGAGTCAGGCAACAGGATTAAAGTGGGTGCAGGCACTTCCCTTGCTGTTATTTAAAATTAGATGCACTCCCGTTAAGAAGACAGGATATTCCCCTTATGAAGTCTTGTATCATAGGCCCCCTCCCATACTGCGGGCACTCCCGGAAACTCCTCAGGAGTGGGGAGAGATTGACCTAGGATGGCAGTTACAAGCTCTAGGGAAGATCACTCAGGATATTTCAACCTGGGTAAATGAGAGATGTCCTGTAAGCTTATTCTCCCCAGTTCACCCTTTCTCACCAGGTGATCGTGTGTGGATAAAGGACTGGAATGCAGCCCCTCTGAAGCCACGGTGGAAAGGACCCCAGACCATGATCCTGACCACTCTCACGGCCGTAAAGGTAGAGGGAATCCCAGCCTGGATCCACCACAGCTGCGTGAAACCAGCAGCGGCTGAAACTTGGGAAGCTAGACCAGACCCAGACGACGACTGCAGAGTCACCTTAAGGACAGCGAGCCCTGCTCCAGCGCATCCCGGAAGCATGAGGAGATTCATCATGGGACTCACTCTTCTTCATATTTGGACTTGCACAGTAGGGACATCAACTAATTTTGAAGAATGCTGTCAGTGTGTGCACCAGGGTACTAAGGTGGGACGTAAAGTGACTGCCATGCTTTCACTCTACAGTTACTATGAATGTACAGGGACACAGAGGGAACCTGTTTACTCAGCATAAGGTGTGTAATCCAGGGGATGGACAGCCGATGTCTGCTACCATCCATCAGAGTCCCCTACACATACGACTTTTGAAATCAAACTCCTAACAGGGCGAGGAATCAGTCCTACTAAGTTAATAGCTAAAACAGAGGAGAAGGGAAGGCCCAAACAGGTCACCCTAAGGTTTGATGCCTGTGCAGCCATCAATGCCTATCCTTCCAGTAGGGGGAGCCGTGGTCCCCTCGGATAGAAACAAAGTCACGCAAAAGAGCCTAAGAATATCTGCCAGAAAACCTGCTGATGCAGTAAATGCATTCTTGCAGTCACGCGTCTTCTGGGCCACTTGAAAAAATAATACAAGGCTGGGCGCGGTGGCTCACACTTGTAATCCCAGCACTTTGGGAGGCCGAGGCGGGTGGATCACGAGGTCAAGAGATCAAGACCATCCTGGTCAACATGGTGAAACCCCGTCTCTACTAAAAATACAAAAAATTAGCTGGGCATGGTGGCGCGTGCCTGTAATCCCAGCTACTCAGGAGGCTGAGGCAGGAGAATTGCCTGAACCCAGGAGGCGGAGGTTGCGGTGAGCCGAGATCACGCCATTGCACTCCAGCCTGGGTAACAAGAGCGAAACTCCGTCTCAAAAAAAAAAAAAAAAAAGAAAAAATAATACAAATAATCCCGTTCCCGTTCATCCTGTAAAAGGGAGAGACACCATTCCAGGGAGTAACGTCCCCTGTGTCTCGAGACATTGTAACCCAGTAGAATTAATAATCACAAACCCCCAAGACTCTAAATGGGAAAAAGGGGAGAGTGTAATGCTGGGAATTCATGGAAAAGGGCTTGACCCCAGAGTCAGTATCCAGATTCAGGGAAAAATCCAGAAACACTCAGCCCGGGCAGTGTACCAGCACTTCCAAGAAATATTAAATGAGCCAATGCTGGAGCTTCCAAAAAACACAAAGAACTTGTTCCTCCAACTTGCTGAAAATGTAGCCCATTCCCTTAATGTCACTTCTTACTATGTATGTGGGTGAATTACCATGGGTAATAGATGGCCATGGAATGCCTGTGAGTTATTACCCTCTGACCTGACCTCAGTCCAAAGGATTCAAACCAACAGTTTCTGGGTTTTAAAGGTTTCAATTACTGGACAATATTTGTTGACCAGAGAAGGAACAGTCTTCACTGCTCCGGTAGGAAAGCTTAGCTGCTTAGGGCAGCGACCGTGTAATGGAACAGTGGGGTAACCTGGTGGAGCTCAAACTACACAGCAAAGAACCCCCTCCTAAAATTTCAAGAATTACAGAATGCTTGGAATCATCCTGGGTACGGGAGAGGCTGGACAGCCCCGCCTGGGTTGTATTGGATATGCAGACACAGCATTCATCCGGCTGCCTGAAAGATGGACAGGTAGCTGTGTCAGAGGCATCGTCAAGCCTTCTTTCTTCCTATTACCTGTTAAGATAGGTGAGCTGTTAGGATATCCGGTCTACGGACTCCTATCTATACGCTCAGTCAGATCATCCAGTTGCAGGCTGCCATGGAAATACTCGTTAATGAAATGGGCAAAGCTCTGTCCATTTTGGCCAGACAAGAAACTCAGATGAGAAATGCAATTTATCAGAACCGGTTGGCCTTAGATTATTTGCTGGCAGCTGAAGGAGGAGTCCGTAAAAAATTCAAACTAACCCACTGCTGCCTACACGTAGACCACCAGGGTCATGCAGTTAAGAATATAACCAAACTAACACATGCGCCTGTGCTGCTAGGGCACAAATTCAACCCCGAGTTCTTTTTAAAGATTGGCCCTCAGCCTTGGGAGGAGTAAAAACCCTCATCATAAGTGGGGTAACAAAAGTAGGTGTTTGCTACTCCCCTGTTGTCCCCCCTTATTACTCTAAATGGCTAAGAAATTCTTTACTGCTGTGATAGACCGGAGAACCACACCACGAATGTTTTGTATCTGTCATTATCAATCAGTTCCTTCAGGGGATCATGAAAATAAGAATAAAGAGTGAGAACTCTTGCTAATGTTATAGGTGAGGTTCTCAAAGCAGGGGAGAGTGAGGAAAGAGACCCAAGCATCTAAGATCACCTCCCCCTTGACTTCCACACTGTATTTCAATAGAAGAAAAGGCTGGCCGACTGGCACATCCTTAATTGCCTTCCTACAGATGGCAGGCATAGTATGGGGGAATCTCTCCAGAAGGCATTGTTTTGACTTAAACAAGATCAAACCCCCACCCCACTCCTACTCCATCGCCCAAGACGCTTTCACGTGTAATTTCCAAAACTAAACCCAAGACCCTTTCGCATGTAGTATCTAGTGTTAGAAGCCTATATGAAGGCAGAGCTTCTCTTTGTTAGGTAAGCTTGGCTGTTAGACAACTATGTCGCCTTGCTCCGGCCAAAATAAATCCCCTCTTCCTTCCTAGTTCGGTGTCCGAGGTCTGTTTCTCGCGGCTGCTCCTGCTTCAAGACGACCAGCCTAGCCCATCCACCTCCTCTTGGAAGTCACAAGTACTCTCCCCTACTTCCCTTAGGCTCACTCGAGTCCCTGAAGAGCAATCCTAGGCCCTAAATGCCCTGCACGTGTTTGCACTGTAGGCTCTCACTCTTCCTGCAAGCCCTCCTAGCTGACACCTCCTGGTTCTGCTCTCCAGGCGCCACCCTTAATTCCTTTCTAGAGTGGACAGATGACAATGTGTGGCAAAGAACACTCCAGTTCTTTCCCCCAAAAGAAGTTCTCTTTTGGCCGGGCGCGGTGGCTCACGCCTGTAATCCCAGCACTTTGGGAGGCCGAGGCGGGTGGATCACGAGGTCAAGAGATCGAGACCATCCTGGTCAACACGGTGAAACCCCGTCTCTACTAAAAATACAAAAAATTAGCTGGGCGTGGTGGTGCCTGCCTGTAATCCCAGCTACTCAGGAGGCTGAGGCAGGAGAATTGCCTGAACCCGGGAGGCGGAGGTTGCGGTGAGCCGAGATCGCGCCATTGCACTCAGCCTGGGCAACAAGAGTGAAACTCCGTCTCAAAAAAAAAAAAAAAAGTTCTCTTTTTTACTTTCCTACTCACTCTTACTCTCAGTCCTGTTCTGCTGCTCTCTGGCCTTTCCTAGTTCTCTTGTACATACTATCGATCTAACTCATTCCCTCCTCAATGATGCCAACCCATCGTTGGCAAAAAACTGCTGGCTCTGCTCCTCCCTTTCTTCCTCCTCTTATGCCGCCATTCCTGCCTTGCCGGCTGATGGGGCTACCTCTCCTGTCTCTTTACATCTGCCTGCCTCTTTTGACAGTCCCCGCCTCCACCTCCTACAGAGCTTCTTTACTTTTTAAACAGACCCAGCAGGACCTCTTCAGATGTGTCATACCAATAAGCTGCTGTGCTTCTCTGCATGCATTTACAGCAACTCCCACCTCGTATCAACTCCACCCACGCTAGGACCCCTCACTACACAAACAACTATCCCCACTGCTGCCCTCTATGCATTTCCCGTCAACGAACCACTAGAATCCCCTTAGGTAACCTTCCACCTTCTAAATGCGCGTTTACGCTTCATCTCCAAAGTCCCGACACACGTTAATATGCCTACAGGGCACCCTTACTCAGCTTTACTGCCAGACCCTCTATCACCACTAATCATCTCAAAAACATTAACAGTCACCTTCCCTGTGTCTCACTTCATCCTTGGTGACCCTCTCCTTGTGCCTCAGATTCTCCTCCTGGTCCTTCATCATGCTTACTTATGCCCACCCCTACAAATGTGAGAAGAGGCTATTTGTTGATACCACACGCTTCCTCACACATTACGAAATCAAACCACTTCCACTACACAGCTGCCACACCCATCGCCCCTTCAACCCCTAACAGCTGCCGTCCTCGCTGGATCTTTAGGAATTTAGGCATCTGATTCCCCTTTCAGTACTCCCTCTCAGCTCTTCACCCTGCGTTTTCAATTCAGCCTCGCCCTGGCCTTTTCTTCCCAGGTGGCTCCTCTACCTATATGTGTTTGCCACTAACTGGACAGGCACCTGTCCCTCAGTCTTCCTTATTCCTGAGATCCAATTTGCCAATGGTAACGAACAAGTGCTTGTCCCCCTAATGACACCTACCCGACGAAAAAGAGCTATGCAACTAATTCCATTCCTCGTAGGAATAGGGCTTGCAGCCTGCACGGTAGGCCTTGGAACTGGCATAGCAGGGCTCACCACCTCCATCACAGCATTCCGCAGTCTGTCTACTGATTTCTCTGCCAGCATTGCTAATTAGCTAATACCTTGTCTGCCCTTCAGAGTCTAATTGACTCTTTGGTTGCAGCTGTTCTCCAAAACCATTGTGGCCTCGACTTACCGCAGAAAAAGGAGGACTCTGTATATTTCTAAATGAAGAATGTTGTTTTTACTTAAAGCAATCTGGCCTAGTGTATGATAATATCAAAAAACTCAAAGACAGGGCTCAGAAGTTTGCTAACCAAGCAAATACCTATGCCGAACCTGCCTGGCCTTTTTCTAACTGGAGGTCATGGCTCCTTCCAATCCTTACTCCTTTAATACCCATCTTTCTTCTTCTCCTATTCGGACCCTGTAACTTCCGCTTACTCTCCCAATTCATACAAAACCGCATCCAGGCAATCACAGATCGGCAAATGCTGCTCTGGACAACCCCACAACACCGTGCAGTGCCTCAAAGTCCCCTAGCAGCTTAAGCATGTGTAAGGCCAAACGTATTGTCCGGCCCTTTCTTATTTGTGTCCCTGTCCTGTTCCCACTTCTACCCTGTCTCCTCTGCTCAAAAAATTAGGTGTCTGCGCAGACCGGGCGCGGTGGCTCAAGCCTGTAATCCCAGCACTTTGGGAGGCCGAGGCGGGTGGATCACAAGGTCAAGAGATCGAGACCATCCTGGTCAACATGGTGAAACCCCGTCTCTACTAAAGCTACAAAAAAAAATTAGCTGGGCATGGTGGCGCGTGCCTGTAATCCCAGCTACTCAGGAGGCTGAGGCAGGAGAATTGCCTGAACCCAGGAGGCGGAGGTTGCGGTGAGCCGAGATCGCGCCACTGCACTCCAGCCTGGGTAACAAGAGCGAAACTCTGTCTCAAAAAAAAAAAAAAAAAAAAAAATTAGGTGTCTGCGCAGTCCCCCACGTCACGCACGAAATAGCCTTGAGAAACTTAGCCCTCACCCCCTGAAACCTGTCATCACCCCCTCTTCTCTCTTTCTCTTTCTATATAAAAAGACAGGAATGTCAGGTCTGCATGTGCAAGCCTGGACCCAGAAAGTCTGAAGTCCTGCCTCGGCTGATTGCCATCCCCCACCAACCCCCATCACCCAGCGGAGCTTCCCCAGGACAAGCCTCTCACCCCACCCTGCCATCTTAACTGTTCTTATGATGATGTGAATACTCCTTACCCCATCCTGCCATCCTTTTTTTTTTTTTTTTTTTTTTTTTTTTTGAGACAGAGTTTTTGCTCTTGTTCCCAGGCTGGAGTGCGATGGCGCGATCTCGGCTCACCGCAACCTCTACCTCCTGGGTTCAGGCAATTCTCCTGCCTCAGCCTCCTGCGTAGCTGGGATTACAGGCATGCGCCACCATGCCCAGCTAATTTTTGTATTTTTAGTAGAGACAGGGTTTCATATGTTGAACAGGATGGTCTCAATCTCTTGACCTCATGATCCACGAGCCTCAGCCTCCCAAAGTGCTGGGATTACAGGCGAAAGCCACCGCGCCCCATCCTGCCATCTGAACTGTTCTTATGAAGATGTGAATACTCCTCGCCCCACCCTACCACCTTAACTACTCTTCTGCCTTACCACCTGTCATTGTAACTGAACTTAGTGTAATGTATACTCCTTGCCCCTGCCCCCCGCCACTGTAACTGATCTTATTCTGCAACACCCCCGCTCCACCCAGAAATATTGCCCCAACCTATAAAATCAATTCCCACCCTTGTCTTTTCTGGGATTCGGCCCGTTTGCACCCAAGAGAGAAATAAAACGGCCTTGTCGCCCACACCCACACAAAGCCTGCTTGGAAGATCTCTTTATAAATGTGTTTAATACTCGGTTCTATTGGACGCGAATAACAGCTACATGAAAGAAGCCCACGCATGAAAGACACATATTGTATGATTCCATCTACATGAAGTAGCCACAATAGGCAAATCCATATACAGAGAAAGATCGGGGCTGCCTAGAACTGAAGACGGGAGGTATGGGAGGATTAGAGGTGAAAGGTAAGAGGTATGGGGGTTTCTTTTTGGGGTGATGACAATGTTCTAAAATTGTGAAAATGGCTGCACAACTCTGTGAATATACTAGAAAATGCTGAGCTGTACATTTTAAATGGGTGAATTATATACCATGTGAATTGTATCTCAATAAAGCTATTAAGAAAAAAAACAGGCTGGGCGTAGTGGCTCCCGCCTGTAATACCAGCACTTTGGGATGCTGAGGCGGGCAGATCACTTGAGGTCAGGGGTTCAAGACCAATATGGTGAATCCTGTCTCTACTAAAAATACAAAAAACACAAAAATTGGCCAGGCGCAGTGGCTCATGCCTGTAATCCCAGCACTCTGGGAGGCCAAGGCTGTGGGTAACCCTCTATACAGGCACCAAGGAAGGATAGCTTAGCAGAATCCTGGCACAATTAGTGCCTGAAGAATATCTCAGTTTACAGTGTTACTACTCAGTTACTTACTTTTATACAATCCTTTATATACAATCATATATTAGTTCATAGAATGAGTGCCTAAAGAATATCTGGCCAGGTGTGGTGGCTCACGCCTGTAATCCAAGCACTTTGGAGGCCAAGGCGGACGGATCGCCTGAGGTCGGAAGTTCAAGACCAGCCTGACCAACATGGTGAAACCCCGTCTTTATATTTAAAAAAAAAGAAAAAAAAAGAAAAAAAAAAAAAGAATATCTTACCACTCAGTTATTTCCCTATATGTATATTATTATATCTTAGTTCATAGAGGAATGCCTAGAGCAGAAACAGTACAGAGCATTAATTAAGGAATAAGCAGCTTATAGTTGGAAGAATGTCTGGAGCAGACACAGTGCAGAGCATGATTTAAGGGAAAAACAGTTATACCAGGACAAGAACCCATGGCCCAGGTGGCAGCGTTCAGTATCGTAAAGATACCTGCTGTATGGCAGGCTTGGGGCGAGAGCCACTCCTCCTGATAAAGGAGCTGTAGGACCTTGCTCCAGTTCTCGTGGAAGGCTGCCCTCAGACCGGCAATCCACCTTGGTGACTGTGAACTTTATCAGCTCTTGTTATGGTGCTGGCTCAAAAGCATCCTCCTATAGAACTCACTGGAAGCTGCCAGCAGGTGGCGGTAGACCCTGACAGCTTTGTCACTGCTGTGTGACTTAAAGCATCCTTCTATAGATATTCTCATAGATAAGAGATATTGCACGCTGCACCCTCTCCACTGCGCACGGCCCACCTCCATGCCTCGATGGCCTAACGGGGGTGGACCCCTTACTGCACAAGGCCTGCCACCTTGCCTCAATGACCTAATGGGGGTGGACCCCTTGTTTATTGCTTACGACCCTATCACTATCCTTAAAGATGACTTCACTCACTACCCTGCCCCCTAACCTATACTCAATAAATACAGACGCTTCTGGACATTCAGGCCTCACCTGTCTCCGCTTACAGGTGATGTGCCACCACTCCCAGCCCAGCTGCGCTTTCTTTGTATTTCTGTGTCCTGTCTCTTTATTTCTCGGATCCTGTGCCTTAGCACAGCATAAGGGACACCCCCATGACCCTGTGGGGCCCTTATAGCCCTACAAAGGCAACCAGATCACGAGGTCAGGAGTTCATTACCAGCCTGGCCAATATGGTGAAACCCCATCTATACTAAAAATACAAAAAAAATTAGCTGGGTATGGTGGCAGGCACCTGCAATCCCAGCTACTTGGGAGGCTGAGGCAGGAGAATTGCTTAAACCTGGGAGGCTGAGGTTGTAGTGAGCTGAAATCATACCACTACACTTCAGCCTGGGCAAGAGCAAGACTCTGTCTCACAAAACATAAATAAAAATAAAAAATAAATCAGCTGGGAGTGGTGGCACACACCTGTAATCCCAGCTACTGGGAGGCTGAGGCAGGAGGATCATTTGAACCTGGGAGGTGGAGGTTGCAGTGAGCCAAGATCACACCACTGCACTCCAGCCTGGGAGACAGAGTGAAGCTCTGTCTTGAATAAAAGCAAAACAAAACACTGCTGGATGGTGGATCTTTGCATGTTTGTTACATTATTTTCTGACACTTCAGAATAGTTCATAATTTATTTTATTTTATTATTTTATTTATTTTTAGAAGCAGGGTTTCACTATGTTGACCAGGCTGATCTCGAACTCCTGACCTCATGATCCACCCGCCTCAACCTCCCAAAGTGCTGGGTTTACAGATGTGAGCCACCATGCCCGGCAAATACTTCATAATTTCTAATAAGGAAAAGGAAGCTTAAGAGGCCAGCATGCTAACCTAGCCCCTAAGTCACCTATCCCCAACTTTCCTTCCCATGAGTTATCTATTTATTTATTTATTTTTAAGATGGGGTTTCACCATGATGGCCAGGCTGGTTTTGAACTCCTGACCTCAGGTGATCCAACCACCTCGGCTTCCCAAAGTGCTAGGATTACAGGCATGAGCCACCGCACCCGGCCTTTTTCTTTTTTTTTTTGAGACAAGGTCTCACTCTGCCACCCAGGCTGGACTGCCATGGCCTCCACCTTCCAGGCTCAAGCAATCCTCCCACCTCAGCCTCCTGAACAGTTGGAACTACAGGTGTGTGCCACCACACTTGGCTAATTTTCTTATTTTTTTTCAAAGGCAGGGTCTCGTGATGTTGCCACAGCTGGTCTTAAATTCCTGGGCTCGAGCAATCCTTTTACCTCGACCTCCCCAAATACAGGATTACAGGCCACTGTGAGCCACTGTGCCTGGCCCACAGGTCTTTCTTCTCTTCTTCCACCAGACAGAACATGCAGTTATCCAGCCCAGAGGAAGTCTTCTCCTTCTGGAGTCAATCGTTTAAACTTTCTGGCCATCGGTGGTCATAAGCTTTCCCTATCATTGTGTGAACCTTCCCACCTAGTTTCTCCTTATACGAAGCTGGAACCCTGGAGTATGGGACATTACCCACAAACTACTTCCAAAAGACTAGGCAACAAAAAAAAGACATGAATCCAGGAATCCCAAATTTAGCTCTCTCAACATAAACCAGCCCCTTCAAGGACTGTCTCCTACAAAGTCTTTCTCTTTCACCATAAGCCTCTCCTAAACCTTGCTGCCCACTGGTCCCAGGAAAACCAAGGTCATTTTATTTTATTTTATTTATTTATTTTTTTTTTTTGAGACGGAGTTTCGCTCTTGTTACCCAGGCTGGAGTGCAATGACGCGATCTCGGCTCACCGCAACCTCCGCCTCCTGGGTTCAGGCAATTCTCCTGCCTCAGCTTCCTGAGTAGCTGGGATTACAGGCACGTGCCACCATGCCCAGCTAATTTTTGTAGTTTTAGTAGAGACGGGGTTTCACCATGTTGACCAGGATGGTCTCGATCTCTTGACCTCGTGATCCACCCGCCTTGGCCTCCCAAACTGCTGGGATTACAGGCTTGAGCCACCGCGCCCGGCCCTTATTTTTTTTAGGGACAGAGTCTCGCTCTGTCGCCCAAGCTGGAGTGCAGTGATGCAATCTCAGCTCACTGCAACCTCCACCTCCCGGGTTCAAGCGATTCTCCTGCCTCAGCCTCCCGAGTAGTTGGGATTACAGGTGCACACCACCTCACCTAGCTAATTTTTGTATTTTTAGTAGAGACGAAGTTTCACTGTGTTAGCCAGGATGGTCTCGATCTCGTGACCTCGTGATCCATCCACCTTGGCCTCCCAAAGTGCTGGGACCATAGGCGTGAGCCACCGCGCCCCGCTAAACCAAGGCCATTTTAAAACTCAGCACCCACCATCCCCTCACACTTCCAATAACTTCCTCCATAGAAGTTCTGATCACTGCCTTCCTCTTCTACTTCCCTATCCACCTCCTCCTCCTCCTTGCTCTGGTGACAGCAACAGACTCAAATCTCACCCCCAGCTACCAGCAACTCTCTCCCCGCCCCTTCCTCCATCATGGGGATTGAGGCATCCGGAAGCCCAGGCCAGTCCGTAAGTTCAGGTCACGTCACTTTTTTTTTTTTTTTGGAGGCAGTCTCGCTTTGACACCCAGGCTGGAGTGCAGTGGCGCAATCTCAGCTCACTGCAACTGCTGAGTCCCCGGTTCAAGCGATTCTCCTGCCTCAGCCTCCCGAGTAGCTGGGATTATAGGCGTGCACCACCACACCTGGCTAATTTTTGTATTTTGAGTAGAGATGGGGTTTCATCATATTAGTTAGGATGGTCTCGAGCTCTTGACCTAGTGATCCGCCCGCCTCGGCCTCCCACAAAGTGCTGGGATTACAGGCGTGAGCCACCGCACCTGGCCCAAATCACTTCTTTATTCAGGTATTTCTTGAGCAGGTGCCAGGCCAAGTTTCCCAGCCTTTCCTTCATTCACATCCATCCATCCATTCATTCAAACATTCAAGTGATAATTTATTGAACATTTACATTGAGACATGCCCCATGTGAAACACTGGAAATATGAAAATGGTCAAAACGGTCGCATGACAAGATCCAGACCTCTGAGTCCCTAATACTTTAGTCTTCTCCACTAAGACTCTCTTGTTCCTTGACAATTTCTTCCCATTAAAGGTTCACTAGGCCAAGGTTCCCAAATGGCTCGAAGCAGCGCAAGGTACTACAACCCTCATCATCATACACTGGCGCCAAGGACTGTAGAACCAGCCGTTGCGCCAAGAGTATTCTAGAAGTTGGAGTTCCTATAGCATGATGGGGCCAAATCTGAGATTCCAGGATTCCAGCCCTTTCTTTTTTTCACTTCCTCAAACCCAGGAGCACTGGTACCCAGCTCCCGCCTCCGCTAAGATCCAGAAATCTAGCCCCCAGGTCCCCTTCTCCCCCAGACCCGGGAGTCCGAGCTTCCTCCTCCTCCAGACCCGAGTCTGGACCCCCAGATTCCTCCTCCTTCAGACCCAAAAGTCAGGGCCTCTAGCCTCCTCCTCTCTCAGACTCGAGACCGCGGCCTCGCTCCTTACCCTCCATGCACTCACACTTACCACGGTTGCCATGATGCTCACCAACTGCCAGAGTCCTAAGGGAAACGGAAATGCGCGAGGAGCAGGGCGTTCTGGTCCCTCTAGGCTAGCAGGTCCTCCAAAGATCTCTATGATTTCTCATAAATATGTAAATATAGTGGGGGCGTGACGGCACTTTTGGCCCCGCCTGCTCGCCGAGGCTACGCTGGAAGACGGGTGTCCGGAACTCCTGGGTCCATTCCCAATGCCTCTGGCTCCTCCTCCTTTTGCTCTGCCCCCCGCCCCGCTCAGGCCGATTGCAAAATTCTTAGCTGTTCTTTGAGTAACCACACGTCCTCCACGCTCCTTTCCTCTTTATCCCACCCTCCTCCTCCCCGCGACTTTGAGGCCTCCGGCTTCAGATTGACAGAGCTGAAGGCCAATCGCTTCCGTAGAGCGCGGCGGCAAGCTCCGCCTCCCGGATAGCCGAGGCGGAGCCCGGACACAGCGACCCCTAACCCGTTCCACCAATGAGGAGACGCGGAAATCCCCGCCCCCGGGCACGAGCCAATGGCACTAGCTGGGGGGGGGGTGGCCACCGCCTCCTGGCGGCCGCGAGGTTTCACTGCAGGGGCACCGCTGGGCTCAGTGACGCTGCGGCCGCCTTCTGCTTAAGTCCGAATGCACCGGGGCGGGGGTGCGGTCGTGCAATAGGAAGCTGAGCGTCTTGCAAGCTTCCCGTCGGGCACCAGCTGCTCGGCCCCGCACCCTACCTGGTGCATTCCCCGGACACCTCCGGGGTCCCTGCTTGAGGTCCCCGGAGCCCCCTTCCAGCGCCAGCCATGCCTTTAAACCGCACTTTGTCCATGTCCTCACTGCCAGGACTGGAGGACTGGGAGGATGAATTCGATCTGGAGAACACAGTGCTCTTCGAAGTGGCCTGGGAGGTGGCCAACAAGGGTGAGTACGCCAGGCGTTGGGGCCCCTGATGAGAAGGGCAGTACTGGATGGGGACCCGGAACTCTGAGTTGTAGGGGGACGGGGCTACAAGGGGAACCCTTGGGTCCTGGGTAAGGAGGCTGTGACTCCTGTGTCCTTGAGGAGGGGCTGGGAGGCCGGAGGTGAGTGGGAGAGGGATGAGTCGTTTGACTTATGTTGAAAGGAGGCTGGAAGCCCGGGTTCCGGGTCCTAGGGAAGAGGGCGCTAAAATGAAAGACTCCTGGGTCCCGGAGGGAAGCTTCGGGGAGACTAGATACCTGGGTGCTGAACAGAGAAGGGGAGGGGGAGATGGGACTTGTGTGTGCAAACGTGGGAAGCTGCCGGGGTTTCAGACTGTGGCCCTAACAGCATGGTCTAGGGGATAAAACTCCAGATTTGAGAGAGAGCTGACTGGGAGATGGGAGGCCTGAGCTGCAGTGGGAGGACCTGAGGATCTGGCTGCTGAGAAGGACTGGCGACGCTAATCCGCAGATCCCCGGTGGGGAGAGGGCTGCGGGCCTGCATGCCTGGGCTTTGAAGGAGCCGAGGGCCTGAGCTATTAGTTCCTAGTAGAGGAGCCGGGGCCTGGGACACATGCGTACTCGAATAGGGAAGGCTGGGAAGTCCTAAGTTAGGCACGGGCTGGGCCCTAGGATGGGAGTGGCTGGGAGCTTGCATTTCTGTGTCTTGGGCTCCAAAAAGCTGAGGTTCTGATCTTGGAGAAGGCTGGGGCTCAAATCCCCAGGAACAAGCCAGTCCCCCACCTCAAAGAGCAGGGACTGAGGGGTTTCTTTGCTGGGTCTTGGAGGGGAAAGGGACTGGGTCTCCCAGGAGGAGAGGGGGGGCCCCTTGAACACACAGCCGGGTCTGGCCAGGGCCTGGGCTCCAGGAGGGTAGGAGGCTGGGGGCGGGGGCTCCTGGGTCTGGGATAGGGCCGTGGGCCCTGCATGCTTTGTCCCTAGTAAGGGAGAGGAAATTGGGAGGCAGGTCAGCAGGGTCCCTGGGGGCAGGAAGCGATCATGCAGGCTTCTCTTGGGCAACAGTGAGAAGCTGAATCCGTCATGAAGAGGGAATCTCCCTCACCGGGTTAAACCCAGCTCCTGTGAGCTGGGAAACTCAGGAACCCGGGTCCAGGTAGTCCTCAGCTCTGCCATCCTTAAGCCCCAGTCCCTAATTCCTTCAGACCCAGGGGTCCCGGCTCCCAGCCCCTTCTCTCTCAGACCCGGAAGTCTAGCCTGAGCCCTGTCCTCCCTCAGGGTCCTGACCCCAGCCCCCTTCTCCCTTAGACCCTGGAGGACCGCCCTCCAGACCCCTGTCCCCTTGATCCAAGCCTCCAAACCCCCTACTCCAAACTGCGGGCTCCTAGCCCCCTCTTCCCCCTGAGCTAGGGGTCTGGGGCCTGAGCACCCCCACGTCCCCAGCCCACCCCACCTCAGGCCCCAGAACTGTGGGACTCGGCCGGGGCCTGCCCTCACACGCTTGGGCCCACAGTGGGTGGCATCTACACGGTGCTGCAGACGAAGGCGAAGGTGACAGGGGATGAATGGGGCGACAACTACTACCTGGTGGGGCCGTACACGGAGCAGGGCGTGAGGACCCAGGTGGAGCTGCTGGAGGCCCCCACCCCGGCCCTGAAGAGGACACTGGACTCCATGAACAGCAAGGGCTGCAAGGTGGGACATGGCGCGGCCCAGGGCAGAAGGGGACGGACAGCCTGCCATCAGGGTGGAAGCCACAAACAGAGAGGGGGTGCGGGGTGATACTTTGAGCGAGAGAGCGAGGCATGCGTGGACGCAGGAACGAGGCATGATAGGACACCCAGACAGATGCAGGGCCTGGAAGCGGTGGGTGGATCCCAGACACTGGCAAAGGCACAGGCAGATGGCAAGTATGAGACAGATCGAGACGCAGATCCCAGAGGCCCCGGGCCTCAGACCCAGGGAGATAAAGAGCGGGCAGAAGATGGCCATGCGGGGCCAGCCTGGCCAACACAGCAAAACCCCATCTCTACTGAAAATACAAAAATTAGCCAGGCGTGGTGGCGCGCACCTGTCATCCTAGCTACTCGGGAGGCTGAGGCAGGAGAATCGCTTGAACCCGGGAGGCGCAGGTTGCACTGAGCTGCTCTTGAGCCACTGCACTCCAGCCTGGGCAACATGAGCAAGACTCCATCTCAAAAAAGAAAGCCAGCCGGCCAGCCAGGCAGAGCCAGGGAGAGGGGGCCTGGGGTCAGGCAGGAGCAGCATTCTGGAGCCTAAAGTTCAAGTTCATCCTCTCCACCGGCTGCCCTTGTGTCCTTGGCTAATGGACGTGCTAACAGCATCTACCTTCTAGAGGTGCTGGGAGGATGAGAGAGTTAATAAGGATAAAGTGTGGAGTTCTTGAAGTTAGCACAGTGTGTGGGCGGTGATTGTCTTTTTATTTTTTTTGAGATGGAGTCTTGCTCTGTTGCCAGGCTGGAGCATAGTGATGCAATCTTGGCTCACTGCAACCTCCGCCTCCCAGGCCCAAGTGGTTCTCCTGCCTCAGCCTCCCGAGTAGCTGGGACTACAGGTGCCCACAGCCACACCTGGCTAATTTTTGTATTTTTAGTAGAGACGGGGTTTGACCATGTTGGCCAGGCTGGTCTCGAACTCTGAACTCATGAGTCTCCCAAAGTGCTGGGATTACAGGCGTGAGCCACCGCACCCAGCTGTGATTGTTATTATGATCTTCGTTCTTATTGTCACTATAAACGGCCAAGCTCGGAGAATGAGGGGGTCAGGCAGACGAAGGGAGAGGCGTGGATGGAGCCATGGGCAAGGAGTAACAGGGAGACCGACTAGGAACAGAAAAGAGGCCGCCAGGTGTTTCAGAAAGTCAGACCTAGAAGGAGGGAGAAGCATGGAGTATCGGGGAAGACGGGAGAAGTCGGCGGGTAGAGCCACAGGACAGAGTCTGAGATGGGCAGATCAGGGGATAGAGAGGAGCAGGAGTCCCAGGGCCGCAGGATGAAGACGGAAAGAGACACACTGCTGTCCCAGGAGAAAGCCACAGGCAGCAGGGCTGAGGGACGGACAGGTCCGGGTCCAGGAGGGAGAGGCACTGCAGTTCCTTCACTCATTTACAGCCTGTGGTTTGTGTTGGGGTCTGGAATCCATTCAGGCCCTACTGTGTCCCTAAGGGACCCAGGAACAGCTTGGTCCCTTCCTGAGGGCAGCTGCTTCCCACGTGCTGGGGGCCTAAGAACAGTGTCCCCACCCCCCCCACCCCGCGCCGCCAGCAAAAGGGCAGACGACAGCTGGGAGGAGGAGGGGCCTCAGAGCCAGGCCCGGGGCAGGAAAGAGCCAGGTCAGCGAGGAGGGAGGCTGCTTCTCCGCTGCGGTGGCAGCGGGCCCAGAACCAAGGCAACCATCTCGGGGAGGAACGCAGCCAACTGGAGAAATGAGGCAGAGGCAGAAGTGAGGCAGCAAGACTCAGAAGCATGGCCTGGGCTAGAAAAACGCAGCCCTGGGGCGTGGACGAGGATGGGCTATGTTAGCAATGTGTGGCTCAGGCCGGGCGCAGTGGCTCACACCTGGAATCCAGCACTTTGGGAGGCCGAGGCGGGCGGATCACCTGAGGTGGGAGTTCGAGACCTGCCTGGCCAACATGGAGAAACCCTGTCTCTACTAAAAATACAAAATTAGCCAGGCGTGGTGGCGGGTGCCTGTAATCCCAGCGACTCGGGAGGCTGAGGCAGGAGAATGGCTTGAACCCGGGAGGCGGAGGTTGTGGTGAGCCAAGATCTCGTCACTCCAGCCTGGGCAACAAGAGTGAAACTCTGTCTCAAAAAAAAAAAAAAAAAGGAAAAAAGTAATGTGTGGCTGTGGGCTGGATGCAGTGGCTCATGCCTGTAATCCTGGCATTTTGGGAGGCCAAGGTGGGAGGATAGCTTGAGCCCGGGAGTTTGTGACCAGCCTGGGTGGCATGATGAAACCCCGTGTCTACTAAAAATACAAAAAATTAGCCAGGCATGCCGGTGCATGCCTGTGATCCCAGCTACTCAGGAGGCTGAGATGGGAGGATCACCTGATCCTGGGAAGTCAAGGCTGTAGTGAGCCATCATTTTTTTTTTGGAGGTGGAGTCATACTCTGTCCACCAGGTTGGAGTGCAG